GATGAGACAAGGAAACAAGGGGATGAGACAAGGAAACAAGGGGATGAGACAAGGAAACAAGGGGATGAGACAAGGAAACAAGGGGGTGAGACAAGGAAACAAAGGCATGAGACAAGGAAACAAGGGGATGAGACAAGGAGACAGAAGAATGAGCATTCTGCTGTATAAAATGTGAACGTGTCAAACACATCTTTGCTTCGCCTTCAGTACTGTAGAAAAGAATATGCAAGATTGGATGTTCATCTTACCGATAGAAATGCTTCGAAATACTTCTCGCCGAGCATTTCAAGTAAGAAGCAGCCTCCTGACCAAACATCTTTAGATGCTGGATTATGCTAGACAAATGGAAGATGTAAACTTAGTAAATAAATAACGAACGGCCAGCCAGTGAAAGGATTTTCCCGTCAGTTTTGATGCTTTCCCTCTCGCATCCTTTCCTTCAACCCTAAGTGAATGATGCCACAAAAACATTCTGGTAAGACAGTCAGTCGGGACAACAAACTTTAGGGTGCCCCATGCATGTGGGAAAAGTTTTTCGTTTTTGGAGTTGCCCTTTTGACTTGGTCACCTATCTTCATGCAATGGTTAATCACAGTAATCATAAGCACAGTACGTAATCACAGTATCATGGGCCCGACTACCGACTCTAGGACTCTACCCTGCTGTGCACATCAGCACGTCATGATAACAGGATGTTATGCTGCCGCATATAACACATCCCAAAAGTTGTAAAACTTGCACATACTTGGTTGATTCCAGCTGCTTTTCCAAAATCGCAAAGCTTTGCTTCCAATCTAAATGCAGTCAACAGTACGTTATTAACTAAAAAAAAGAAAATTACATTAAATATGAAAAGATTTTAGTCTGGAATATGATTTTCTTGTGATATGACGTGCTTTTGGTTGATTCGGATCACACTTTCAAATGCCGAGTGCTGACACATACTGTATAAATCTATTCTAGGTGTACGTAGCTTAAGTCTCTTTATGGGTGGCATGGGTGGGGTAGTAGTTTACTGCTTGCCTTTCATTGCTGTGGTCCGGGGTTCAGCTTGGACTAGATCATATGTGAGTTGACTTGGTTTTGATGTGTTGTTCTCTCCTGTGAGCGCATAATATTTAAAACAGCACTTTGCTTTTTGTTAATATATAAGAGCCACCATGTGGTGAATAGCTGAATTGGAAAACACACAGGAATCCCAGAATATCACCAACAAACCTTTAACATCATTGTGTACTATCCCCTTACTGTGTATAAACTCAAGTGCTAATAAGACATCTTTGAAGTAATTCGCACAGTCAATTTTATCAAGCCCATCCTGGTATTCCCTGTTTTCGATTATTGCATCGTGTACCGTTCCTCCTGTGAGCAAAAATTATTGGAACTTAAAATTTCACTCATTGTCTAAGTTCGCAAAAGTTAGTCCATAAATCCGAGAATGAATCTATTTTTAGAAAGCTCAAAGGGATCTACATTGTCTATCTATCATAGATTTAGATGATAGACTTTATTTTATCAAGGTATGCCATTCAGCAACGATGTTGGAAGTGCAGGTGGTGGTGGGATGGATTTGCAGCTGGCAGTTGGTCCTTAATCATAATGGATGCCTTAACAGTTGCACATAAGAAGACACATGCATTGGGATACTTTTCAAAACAAGGAATCTTATTCTCAAGAGAATGACACATGTTCTGACATGCGAAACTTTATGTCCAAGCTAAAGAGGTCTATACAAATCCTGAATTATGGGAGAAGAAGCATCCTTTCTTTTAGACATTTTATTGTCCATTATCTAATTTTATTCAAACAAACGTTTTCTTAGTTACTTACCCTCCATGTATTCCATGAAAATGCAGAATTTAGACTTGTAATACGTAGCACCATAAAGCAACACAATTTTTTTAGCCCCTTCGCTAATCTTCTTAACATACTTTGCCTTTGCTGCTAAACATAATGCCTTCAATTCCTCGTCATGGTATTTACACTTCTCAGCATAAGTTAAATAAATGTATAAATAAATAAATAAATAAATAAATAGATAAATAGATAAATAAATAAATATATATTAATACATATATAAAAATAAATAGACAAATAATCGAATAAACAAATAAACAAATAAATGAATAAATAAATGAAATTATAATATTAATCAAAATAAATTGATGGAAACAACTAGCCTGCATAGTGGCATTTGGGAGTGGGGAATGGGGACAAGGGAAGGGGAGGGGATATGGGAGTAGCGAGAGAGAGGGAGAGTCTGCGATGATCATATTGTTTCGGCATATTTCTTTCTTCACACTCCTGGAGAACAAAAAATTCCTATTGGTTGAGAGGTTTAGCACATCAATCACAGTGTGAGAATATTTTTTGATTGTGATGTCAACATGGCAGAGGAAATGTTGTCATAGCTCATGCTAGATCAATTCTAAAGAAAAATAATGGTAGCAGCTCTTGAGAGCCATCACAAGGCTAATTGGTTTATTTTATATCCTTTTTAAAATATTTAATTGCCCCATGCTTAGTTTGTTAATGTTAATGTTAATGTATATATCATATAACAGTAGTGTATTATATTCCTTTAGTGTTGCCCTAGCTAACACACTAGTTAAGTCTAAAACTTATCAAACAGGCACCCGCCCCCTTGTTGGCAACAAAATGACAACCATAGATTTTATGGAACCCTGCAATAACCTCTACAATGATCCAACTCAGGCAAGGTTAACTCCAACATTAAAAATGAATTAAAAATACCATTTAATACATATAGAAAAATAATAGAATTGTTTTTACCTTTTTCACACAAAATAGATTTTCTTTCCCTACTGGATGTCCAAGAAAGCACTGACCACTTGCACCATGTCCAATTTTCTCAGAAACTTTCCACTGTTCACCTTCTTCAAACCTAAGCTCTCCGCTCAAGGGTAATTTGTCTACTGGCCAACAGAACCCTCTACCATCAGGCTAATGTACAGGAATAAAGATAATTGCCTCTATTAATATAAGTAGCCTGCATAGGAAGTGTCCCTCTGGGCAGGAGGACTAACTGGGCCTAGATGACTACTGTACCTCCATCTTTGAACAGAGGGTTTCTATGCAAGGTATTAGCTTTTAGGACATCTCTTCAGGGTGAAATCAGATCCAGCTCAGAGTTTAGAATTCACCCTTTTTGAGTGTATGAGATGGAATCCCCAACTCACTAAATGTTTTTATTGAAAGGCTATAACCACTCATTTTATTGCAAGGCCATAGCCACTAGTTGGACAGCTGTCCAGTGTTTCAAAAAAGGTGGTGCTGTTTTTATCATGATTACACTGTTGGAGCAGAACATGTGAAAGGGTCCATTTTTTGTTCCATTTTCTCCAGAGGGACATTTAATCACTAACRTCCCTCTGGATGAATAGTGAGGTAGGGATATTTAGTCTAAATATCACTCATGAATTTAAATATGAGGGGGGATTAGACTAATTGTCCCTCATGAATATAATACAGGGGCGGCGGAAGCGGGGGGGCCGGGGGGGCACTGGCCCCCCCACTAGATTTTTTGGGGGGGCCTGGCCCCCCCAGAATATAATGCCTCACACACACACACAAAAAAAAACGCATAAGATTTGGTTATGATTACCATTATTTACTATTTTGATATTACATAATTTTCTGTATCTAAAAAATATACGATATATCTAGCGACGACTTGCATCATTTTTGTGTCTCTCAACACAATTGCAAGTGGTTTAATGCGCGCAAAATGTTACTGATTGAAATATCACACATACACGTTTGTAATCAAGCTAAATAGGGAGGGGGGGGGGGTCATTTCAAGGTACCGTGAAATATTGGAGTGCCCCCCCAAAATTTTTCAGCTTCCGCCGCCCCTGTAATAATGAGGGATGATTAGACTAATCGTCTCTCCTCATTAATTGTGAGGCACTGTCCCTATAACAATCATGACTGGGTCTGATTGGCCCAGTACTACACTCTGTTAAAGTAGTCGTTGATCAGTAGTCATTGATCATACCTTCATCACTTGAAGGTGACTCTTTCTTATGAATTGGGACATAATAAGTTATCAGTATTTCCGAGTTGAAATAGCTCACTGTATACAGGTAACAAAGAAATTGCATGCTCATGATTCTCTAGAGTACATTGTAATCAAGACACTGTTTCCATTGGAAAAACTACCCATTGTTTGGGTGCATAATCAATCATAACCGCGGGATCAGTGTATACATTCCACTCTTGATTAACCGAAGTGACTATATATTTTAGCTTACCTTCTTTGGTATTCATAATATTACAAACTAATAGCATAACCTTTTTGGTGATTAGTGATTAAATGTCCCCTCAAGCCTTGGGTGGTTTAGTTCAAGTTGCTCTGCCTATGGCATCAGGTCCTTCAACAAAACCACCCTCAGCTTTCAGGGACATTTAGAGTGCCACTACTATGACTGGGGCCACTTAAAAAGCGAGATCCAATCAAATTGTAGAATGAAAACAATACAGAACTCCGCTACCCAAAGTTGGAATGTATTGTTTTTCATTCTACATTCTAATTGGTTCTCTTGTCTAACTGTCTAAGACGTCCCAGTTACAGTAGTTGCGCTGTAATCACTAATCACCCTTGGGTCATGCTATTTTTTTACAAGGGGGAAAAATGGTGGCGAAGGTAAAAAGTGATGTGGTTAAAACCAGACCAACTGTACTGGTGGTGTTATGGCCCTGTATTAAAATGTTTTGATAGCCTTAGTGTTGGTGGTGATACCCCCTCTGGGCCATGGGTGTGGCATTACCTTGTACTTTGGAATTAAGTGATTTCTGATTTCTTCAGCAATATCGGAGGGATCGTTGCCAAAGGCAGGGCTTGAAGATTTTGGACCAGCTGGAACTTCTGCACTTGGATCAACTTCAGAAACATTTTCTATACTTGCCTCGTGTTCTAAACTATCATTTGGTACTGTAGCATGAATTTCGTTACCAGAAGTTTCCACATTATTTTGATTGTAAGTATCATCATCTGTTTTCTCTTCACCGGAATTTGATTTTAAAAACCTATCTTCCAACGCATTTGAAACTGCCGAAGCAGCTGAAATTGGACGTGTCAAAGACTCAAAATAGTTCGCGCCATCTTCTTTTTGGCGAACATCAGTTCCGTTTCCAGACTCCAAATCATCCGTAAATTCTTCACTTTCTTCTCTCAAAGCATTGGTATTATTAGCATCTTGGAAGATATCTACGTCACTTTCATCCATGAGCTAAAAAATTAAACCCAGACATTTAAAAATTTGATGTTCTTTAGCAAAACCCGCGAGACTTCCGGCATATCGAATTCACGGAATGAACGGAATCAACGGAATCAACGGAATGAACGGAATCAACGGAATCTCTTTGAAACATATGGAAGTCAAACATCATTAAAATAAAGACAAATCAAATTAAAAGAAAAAGTAAAGAACTTCGTGCTCGGTCGTCCTCTAAGAAAAAAATTATATAAAACAACTCGATCGGAAACCCTATTATTAATATTATTATGATTTATCTACATAGAATGATTACCCAGGAAACAATGACATGTCAAAAACATAACTTTAGTCCAAATCATAGCTAACCTTGAAAGAATCTGTTCATGGATCCAGCAAAACATTGCACATTTTCCCATCGTTTTATGACAAGTTGGACGCCATTTTGTAAGCACAGGTAGCCCAATTTTCAAACACAGGAAGCCCATAGACATAAAGAAGAATTGGTTAGCTATGATTTGGACTAAAGTTATGTTTTTGACATGTCATTGTTTCCTGGGTAATCATTCTATGTAGATAAATCATAATAATATTAATAATAGGGTTTCCAATCGAGTTGTTTTATATAATTTTTTTCTTAGAGGACGACCGAGCACAAAGTTCTTAACTTTTTCTTTTAATTTGATTTGTCTTTATTTTAATGATGTTTGACTTCCATATGTTTCAAAGAGATTCCGTTGATTCCGTTGATTCCGTGAATTCGATATGCCGCGAGACTTCCTGATTAACTTCCTAATAGCACCCAGACTCCTGGATGAGAGAGGGTTTTCATTTGAAATGACAGGATATTAAAGATCAAGGTAGTATAAGGTGAGGTACAGTTTTTATTAAGGGGGAGTGGGGGGGTTGGGGAATTTGTAAAGTTATYAAGATGGTTGTTTTCATGCGTTACTGAGACAAACCAGCGGCAAAGGCACCAGGTCATGCAACCCCTGAAAAGTTTAAAAACTGAGACCCTCGGAAATGAGATTTCCAGAGTTTTGAGGGGGATGTATAACATTTTACCTAAGCAACTGGCTCACTTCCATCTCCGACCCTGTTTACCGGTATATCATTTATTTGCATTTTGAATGATTAATGAATAATGATTATTTTATGGAATAACTGGTTGGAAACCAGTTTGGTAAGACTTTTAAGAAAGAAAGCATGGAAAACAATCTGTTTCTAAAGTTCAGTGGAGATTAGACCGCACATGAATAGGTTCATATTCATTGAATCCTGGTGCTGGCATTGATTGCCGGTCAAATTGTCTTCGATAGGTAGTCACCATAGCATCATTTTTATTAGCATCATTGGCTGTCGTACACTTACACCTATTATTTGTTAATTATAGTAAAAATTGTAAATATTATTCAAGCTATATATATATATTTTTTTGTAATTCTACTATGTAAAATTGACTAAAAAACAATGTAAATAAATTAAAATTGAATTGAATTGAATTGATTGGCTTTCCATGTTAACATGTCTTTTGTGGACTTGGTATGTTGTGAAGGAGCTGGATGATCAGTGGTACTTATATATTTCCACCAAGACCCTGGCAAAAAAAAGATACGGCTACGCCTAGTGACACTTGACTCTTAACGCTTGTTAATCGTTCTTTGTATTTTCTATGGTGCGTCTATAACGCCATGGGCGCGCGACTTTCTGTTGTCTAATCGATAAATAGTAACAAGTGGATACGGTATAATATATGCTTCTACATTTCGTCTTTTTATTGCTGCATTTGATGCACACTGTTTTCCATGTTCAGCATTTCATTTCTTTATCTTGTAAGCTCAGTGTTTCAAAGCCTTTTGGACTTGTGGTGATGCCTGTTTTTACTTGAATAACTGTAAGACTCAGCTTTCAATGGCAATGCGGTATAAACGTAAAATCTCCTGCCACGAGGATGACTGTATAGCTTTAATTTACTTTATCATTGAAAAACGCAGATTTCAAAACATCTGAGGCTGTATATTTGTTTCTTTCTGCACAAAAACACTTGCTCAGTACTTCGTAGGTATCTTGTTCGACGTCTTCAGGTAATCGATCTCCATCTAAGACATTGCCCTTCTTCAAGAATCCCTGAAAGAGAAAAACGTGGGTTACGCTCTTATAAGATACCATACAGTAGGTAAAATATTTTTGGGGTAGAATACGAACAGGAAAAAATGGATGAGACAAGGAAACAAGGGGATGGGACAAGTAAACAAAGCGGGAGAAACTAGGAAAAAAAGCGGGATGGGACAAGGATGAGAAATGATGAGACAATTAGGAACTGACTGGACAAAGGACCAGGAGACATGACATGAAAAGTGTCTTTGGGTCCACGGAAGAGGGGACCATCCGAGACAAGGAAGCAAAGGGATTTTGGTGACAAGGGACGAGTGCATGTGGAGACAAAGCAGATAATGTTGGGATCATAATACCAGCAGAGGGACTGGCAACTGGAAACGTAACAAGGTTAGAGGATCATAATTAAGATAAGGCTATATATATTTATATAAGGGACCATGTAAACCAAAAGAAGGAGCATTATTCTGCTGTATGAAATGTTCACACGTGTCAAACACATCTTTGCTTCTCCTTCAGTACTGTAGAAAAGAATGTGCAAGATTGGATGTTCATCTTACCGACATTAATGCTTTGGAATACTTCTTGCCGAGCATTTCAAGTAAGAAGCAGCCTCCTGACCAAACATCTGTAGATGCTGGATTATGCTAGACAAATGGAAGATGTAAACTTAGTAAAAAAATAACGAAYGGTCAGCCAATGAAAGGACTTCCCCGTCAGTTTTGATGCTTTCCCTCTCGCATCCTTTTTCTTTGCCCCGACTCCCCAATGTAAGTGAATGATGCCACAAAGACATTCTGATAAAACACTCAGTTGGGACAACAAACGTTAGGGTGCCCCATGCATGTGGGAAAAGATTTTCGTTTTTGGAGTTACCCTTACGACTTGGTCATCTATCTTCATGCAATGGTTAATCATAGTATCATAAGTACAGTACGTAATCACAGTATCATGGGCGGCCCAGTGCACAATTACATGTAGTAACAGAGTCTCCGATGTAAAGCTAGGAATTTGCACCCCTGGGGCTCGGTCTCCAGCCATGATGCTGGTGTACCGATTACCGACAGGACTCCACCCTGCTGCATGCACATCAGCACGTCATGATAACAGGATGTTATGCTGCTGCATATAACACATCCTAAAAGTTATAAAACTTCTACGTACCTGGCTGATTGCAACTGCTTTTCCAAAATCGCAAAGCTTTGCTTGGACTTTAGATTTAGTTAACAATACGTTATCAGCTGAAAAAAGAATATATTCTATTCTAGTTAACTATGAAAGGATTTAGACTGGAAGGATCTTCTTGTGAGATTGAGAAGATAAAGGAGAAGAGGGGTGTATTGCACAATGACAAAGTTCCCTACCGTAACCCTCTAGGGGAAATGTGAGAACGGAGAGGTACGGAAAAAACACGAGATAAAAAAGGTAAGTGATCAGTTTTCTAAGCTGTGATTCTTAGTTCGATTTACGCGAAATATATACATAATTTGTAATTGTTATAATTTTCAGTTGACACTCACCTACCTAACTTGACTTTAAAACAAGTTCACATCGTACAGAAAAATAAAGGTTTTTGACAACGGAGTCTAACAGTGTAGTTTTTAAATCAAGTAGCGCCCCAACACGAGGGAGTGAAACAAGGGGAGTACATAATATCTTGAAGACAACACTTCCTTTTGGCCAATATACAAAAGCCATCATGAGATGAATGCATACAGAAACGACTCACTAGCCAGTATTAAAAAAACAACAACAACACAGTAAGCCCCAAAACAACACCAACAAACCTTTAACATCATTATGTCTTATCCCTTTACTGTGTATAAACTTAAGTGCTAAAAAGACATCTTTGAAGTAATGCACACAGTCAATTTTATCAAGCCCATCCTTGTAATGTCTGTTGGCTTCGATTATTGCACGATGTACCGTTCCTCCTGTGAGCAAAAATTTTAGAAAACTTTAAAATTCCACTCACAGTCTGAGTTGGCAAGAAGTAATCTTTAGTAAGCTTTAATAATATAGTGTAGTGTGCATTAAGTGGCACAATCTCATCCTCAACCAACATTTTGTCTCATGCAAAACTGTCATTTWTTTTGGTTTTCTTTGCAGATTTGCACATGCTACACTATATTACCGTATTTACTCGTTTAGACGCCACCCCCAAATAGACGCCGCACCTGGGACTAAAAATACTAATAGACGACGCCCCCGAATAGACGCAGATGCGGCGTTTATTTGAGGAAATGATAATTTATGATAAATGATAAAGAAAAAGCATATTTCAAGTTTAAACCAGCAACGGAAATTTATTTTCTTTTAGAACAATATTTTTAAGTTCAAAGTGACAGTACAAAGTTGTCTTTCAAGAAATCTTATCGAATGAAGTAATTTTTGAATAAAAGCCGCCCCCGAATAAACGCCGCAGCTGGACCACGAGAAGTTAAATAAACGCCACGGCGTCTAAACGAGTAAATATGGTACACTATAAGCTCATTCTGTACTACCATTGTATTTACACACTGACAATGGCACGACCAACATCAAATCATGTCTGGGAATAAACAATGTTGTCTTGATTCTTAAGCTTAAGCTTAATGTTTGCCTATTTCAGACCATGTGTCCAATTCCCTTTAATATTATTTCTTCGTTTAACAGTTGTGCAAGAGAAGCCACGTGCATATGGTTAATTTTCGAAGTATCTTATTTTCAAGAGAATGACACATGGTCTGAAATGGGAAACATTATGCCCAAGATATAGAGGTCTATATGAATGGGCATAGAGCATCCATGCTTTTAGACATCTTATTGTCCAATATCTGAATTCAATTCAACAAACGTTTTCTTACCCTCCATGTATTCCATGAAAATGCAGACATTAGGCTTGCAATATGTTGCACCATAAAGTAAAACAATATTTTTAGCCCCTTCGCTAATTGTCTTAGCATAAATGTCTTTTGCTGCTAAACATAATGCCTTCAATTCCTCCTCATTGTATTGACACGTCTCAGCATAAAAATGAATAAATAAATAAATAAATGAATCTTCAATTCCTCCTCATTGTATTGACACGTCTCAGCATAAAAATGAATAAATAAATAAATAAATGAATGAATAAATGAAATGAATAAATAAATGAGTGAACGAATGAATGAATGAATGAAAAAATGAAAAAATGAAAAATATAAATGAAAAATACAAATATAAATGAATAAACACATATGAATAAATAAATATAAATAAAACATTAAAAGCAAATAGACTATTTGCAATAAACAGTCTCATGCTGATATATAATTTTGATAACCAATCAATTAGACCAAAGGTTTTTTGGGTGCTCTGCTGGATGGGGAAGACACTTTAAGTGCTTAATATCTTGAAATTGAAAGTATCTCATAATGGAAAAAAAGCAATAATTATTAGAATAAGGTTTTGGATATTACTGCATATTTTATAGTAACCCAGCGAAAGTCCGTTTGTTTTTAGGATCCTGTAACATTCATGTGATTATTTCCTGCAAAATGGCCTATACAAGCCAAACATAACACAAAAGTTTCCTTTTTGCCAGAAGACTGTGAACAAGGCACAGGCAATGACTGAAAGGGAAACATTTCATTGTGTCATATGTTCATCGTACTCCCATATATTTCCTTATAAGCCATACACAGGAAACTTGTTTGGGCTGCCTATGTCTAAAATAACTCTTTAATGATGATCCAACTCAGGCAAGGCTTATCAAAGGGACATCAATTTAATCCATTCAATCCATTTAATACAAGAGAAAAAAATAAAATTGCTTTTACCTTTTTCACACAAAAGAGATTGTTTTCTTTCCCTACTGGATATCCAAGAAAGCACTGGCCAACTGCACCTTGTCCAATTTTCTTGGAAATCTTCCACTGTGCATCTTCTTCAAATTTGTGATCTCCACTCAACGGTAATTTGTTGTTTGGCCAACAGAACCCTTTACCATCAGGCTAATGTACAGGAATAAATACAATTTGCCAATTTTAATATTAACTTTGTAGCTTGTGTACATAGTGGCCCCTCTGCATACTAAGTAGGGCTGAATACCTCCTTCTCTGATTCTTACTCACCCTTAGGCACAGTGTAATAGCTCTTTGGGAATCTCTTCAGGGTGGGATCCAGGCCAGGCTTACTTTTTTGAGTATATGAAATAGTCAAGTCCCAACTCACTAAATGGCTGGGAACTCCTCCCCTTTTTTAGTGAACTGTTTTGATTGTAATTTTAATGGTCTTTGGTGATGGTGATAAAAATAAATAAGTAAATAAATCACTTTTATTTAAGTGTCTAGTCGTTCTAGCACTTTCACACTAATTGGGGACACCGCTCAACTCACCTGTTGATTTTTACGGAGGGAGGAAACCAGAGAACCCGGAGAAAACCCTCGTAGCATAGGAGAGAACAACACATCAATCAAACTCAATTCACATGTGGCGACCGCAGGGCTCGAACCAGTGACCCAACCCGTTGGACTCACAGTGGTGAAAGACAATGTGTTAGCCACGAATGCCACCCATGCTACCCTCCCCCCTCTGAGTGTGGTAATACCCCCCTCTGGGTGTGGCATTACCTTGTACTTTGGTATTAAGTAGTCACCGTCATCCCGAAGTGGATTAGGAATATCTTCACCAACACTGACACAGCTGTATATATAACTCTTGCTTAATGAATGAGATGAAGCAATGGATTCCGATCCACCGTCAATACTAGATTGATCGACCAAATCTTCAGGGTCGTCAGTAGGGACTTCAGGAAAGCTCACATTTAATTGGTCGACACAATCAACATCAACTTCGGAGTCGTTTTTAGATATGTCTAATTTTCTGATTTCTTCAGCAATATCGGAGGGATCGTTGCCAAAGGCAGGGCTTGAAGATCTTGGACCAGCTGGAACTTCTGCACATGGATCAACTTCAGAARCATTTTCTATACTTGCCTCGTGTTCTAAACTATCATTTGGCACTGTAGCATGAATTTCGTTACCAGAAGTTTCCACATTATTTTGATTGTAAGTATCATCATCTGTTTTCTCTTCACCGGAATTTGACTTTAAAAACCTATCTTTCAACGCATTCGAAACTGCTGAAATTGGACGTGTCAAAGACTCAAAATTGTTCGCGCCATCTTTTTTTTGGCGAACATCAGTTCTGTTTCCAGACTCCAAATCATCCGTAAATTCTTCATTTTCTTCTCTCAAAGCATTGGTATTATTAGCATCTTGGCAGATATCGACTTCACTTTCATCCATAAGCTAAAAAAATAACCCAGACATTTAAAATTGATATATGAACTTTTTCTATAGCAAAATATTGACTTCCCATATTATTGTAGCCTGCGTAGCCAGGCGTTCCTTGTGGGTTTTGGGGAGGCCTGGCTACGGAGGCTACATATTATTGAGATTTCTGGCTAAGAAATCACTAATAGGATCTAGACTCCTGAACGAGAGTGGGTATATCTTAATTTATTCAGTCTTGGCAATTGTTTCATAAAGTTTTGAAATCACAGGATATTAAGATCAAGGAAGTCTAATGTGAAGTATGTTTATTATTAAGGGGGGAGAGGCTGGGGGATTTGCAGCATAACTGAGACAAACGAGCAGCAAATTAAGACAGTAAAAAGCTAATTTCAGGTCATGCAAGCCCTGAAAATTTTGAAATTGAGACCCTCCAAAATGAGATTTCCAAAGTTTTGATGGGCATTTATCACATCTTACCAAGGAAACTGGCTCACTTGCCCCATATAGTGGCTATGGCCCAGCATGGAAACAGAAAGTTCAAATTATTATTGATAACTGTCCCCTCTGAAGCCCAAGCCTCCCCCCCCCCCCCCCCCCCTATCCATTTTCATTTGGTTATCCACACTGACATCACATGTACTTTACACATCCCCACCCCCCCCCCCCCCCCCCCACCAATAAAAAATGTATCTTCCTTAAGTCAGAGAATTTCTATCAGTTTGCATGGAGCATTCTTCCATCTCTGACCCCGTTTACTGATATGTCATTTATTTGTATTTAGAATGATTAATGATTATGAGATGAATACTTGCATATCAGTTTGTGYGAGTGGAAAAATTGGTTTGGATGATTGCATCAACATTTTGAAAGTGAACACTGTACTACAATGGCTTCCCAGTATTTTTATGGAATAACTGGTTGGAAACCAGTTTGGTAAGAAGGTAAGAAAGAAAGCATGGAAAACAATTAATTTTAATAGAATTTAGAAGAACCTTGTACTATTTCTAACGTTTGGAATATTTTTAATAATCTTGTTGAAAACGTCTCAATGGAGCTGTCAACATTTTGAAATTTTATAGAAGTGCTCATAATGAAGATTGAAGAATGAGAAGAGGATGTTCAACCTCTTTACAAAGCATAAAGAAGCAGATCAGCAAAATTAAAACTTCTTAGACCTTGCCAATCTCTTTAAATTTCCAATTCTCCTCAATGCAAGGAAGAGGCACATACTTTCATTTTTACATTGTGTCTATACATTGTGTCTTTATCAAAAGGTATTTGACAATAAAATGTTATCTGGTATTTAATGGTGTTATCGTCTCTGCAACTGTAAAATTACTTGTGTTTGAAGGTCTTGCTGGTGTTGAATGTGAAAAGGTCTGGTTTTGTGTTAAATGATGAGACCCTATCCCTGGTCTTGAAGAGAAACTGTCATCTGGTTCATTCCAAGCAAGAAGTGGTGCAGTACGGCGCTGTGACGGGGGAGCTGAGACTGCTCTAAAATGCCGTCTTTGAAGGTGGAGATTGGACCGCACATGAACAGGTTCATATTCATTGAATCCTGGTGCTGGCATTGATCGCCGATCAAACTGTCTTCGATAGGTAGTTACCATAGCATTATTTTCATTTCCTTTCCATGTTAACATGTCTTTTGTAGACTTGGTATGTTGTGATGGAATTGACTGATCAGTGGTACTTAGGTATTTCCGCTTACCAAGACCCTGGAAAAAAGATAAGTTTTTATTTTAAAAATTCTGCACATTGTTGACCCTTCCTCCCCCTATCTTGAGGCCTTGAATGATTTGAGTGGGTGAAAAATAATTGAAAGAATTCGGTTTTTTTTTATCCCTATTCATTTACAAAGATGAACATTTTAGATTTGACCCCTTTATCCCATTTTATCCATGCTATCTTGGAAAAAAATCTACTCGTACCGTATGATTGATAATTCCCGAAAGGTGAATGTCAAAACTCACCATATTAAAAAACGCTTCTAGATCACCAACATTACTGTGGGCATTTCTATTGTCATGTCTTGAAAATAAGTGTCTGTTGGACCGCTCCTATGTAAAGAAAAAATAAAAATTAAGAAGCAATAATTGAATATTTGAAGGTAAAAATTATTCATTCTTTTAAAGCAATTATCACCTGAGTAATTAGTAACGCAATAATTAAGATAAAGAACAATAAAGATGAGTAAATTAATTATTATTGTAAAAGCTAAAGGACCTAAAGCAAGTGAAAGTAAACTAGTGCTTACTTTATAGTGTAATAAGATTACCTTAGTTTGATTCAAAAATTTTACTGGTGGTTTTGGCTTTGCTCTTTGTCGATAAGGGATGTTAAAATCGGTACGAGTTTTACTTCTAAAGTGCCCATGGAAACCAGTAGGAAACTGTGAACAAGTAAAAATAAAGTTGATCAACTGTCGGTCACACTTGAGTCCATAGTTGGCTTTTGACGGATTTCTTTCTTACCCAGCTGCCTTGTATTTCATCAACATTAGCCATTTTTTCTTGTCAATACGAAAGCTTGCTTCTTATACTAGCTTTCGCCATATGTTATCGTTGAGTATTGAAGAAAATAAGGCTATAAATCATGTTTCATTAACAATATGGAAGCTGTTTATGTTGTCGTTTCCACGGAGCTTCGCATCAAAACCCATCACACTCGATTGACCAATCACAGCGCGATGCAGTTTAGTCTCGCCTGACTGGTTTTGGCACGATCATTTATCATAATGTCGGTCATGTCAACAAACAACTGTAAACGAGTATACTGTTCTGTTGTTTTATCAATTTATTTTGTAGCTTTTTTAGAATACAAAACTGATATTTCTCTAAACAAATACTCTCAACGAATGTTTTTGGTCACAATTTTAAAATATTTAAAATTTACTAGATCTATAGTCGTCACACGGGAAGTATATTTTGCAATGAATATTTTTGTTTTTTTTTTTAAAGATAAGATACTTATACCAACCTTGTTTTCTAGAAAAAAATGAAGTTGAAAAAATAGGATTGAAGAAAAAAAAAAAAAAAAAAAAAAGAAAAGAAAAGAAAAGAAAAAAAGAAAAGTCCAAATGGCGGGAAAATTTCGCGCGTTTTCTTTCTGTGGTCGCAGACGCGTCGGAAGTAGTCAGACTAAGTTTAGTTGTACTTTTGATTTTCCTTTATTTCCCCCTACTGATGTTTTTACCTTTAAATCTTTCGATCCTCCTTCCTTATCTGTCTCTATTTTCTTGACATTAAACCAGTATAACCATCCAAGCTACTGTTCCTGTAAGATTTTTGTACAAAAAACCTAAAAATTTGCTGCTCTAGCTTGACTACAGTGAGTCGAAAACAGCTTACTACTGATGAGGGAAAATGTTCTCACAGAATTTAGTCTCTGGTCGTGATCTCTTTAGCTCAAATCCCTGGTAAGTATCTTTTTAATGTCTTTTTTTCTTTTAATTTTCTTTTCGAATTAAATAACATTACTTTTTTCTAGTCGTGATTTTTGGGACAGTCAGCAGTTTAGCCAAGCAGCAAGTGGATCACAAAGCTCACAACAAAGTTCCGTCGAGTTGTTTTCTCAGTCTAAATCTTCACAATCACAGCAACAGAGAATCAGTACTAGCTGTGATTGGTGGTCCAATACAGGGAATTCACAACAAATAAACGAGGTAATGAATAATAAGACAATCCTTACTACGAAAAAATTTAAAAAATGATTAAAAACTTGCTAATTGGGCACCTTTCATTTTTCCAATCATTCATTTGTCAATCACAAGGACGAACCAGTAAAATACTACATGAAGTATCTTTCCAAACCTCCAATATTTTCTGACGAGTCCAAGAAGGACCAGGAAAAATCAAAGTCTGAAAACCTAAAAAAATTTATTGAGACACAGAAAACCAAGACATTGGAGCTTGATCAAAGGTATTAAATATTATTTCCAGCATTTTATAATGGTCTTGGTATTTCCAGAAGTACATGCATAATTAGCTCAGTTCCAAGGTTGAGGAAAATGCTGGGTCGGTTTGAGCATTTGGAGGGGGGG